ACAAAAGGTGCGTTGGGCCGGCGTTGCCCCCAGCCGATGCGGGCCACCTCACATGCCACAGCTGAGGGTGCCTCCCTGTTTTGTGTAAATAGCCCTGGGCTCTGGGGGAGCCATCTCTGCTAGAGCTAAAGGGACCTCATGAGTGCAGGGGGCTGTGGGTACAGAGAGCAGAGAAGGAACTCAGTGCTCACCAAGGGCCGCTCAGCCTCTGTGTCATTCATGTCTCATCAGTCCCCTGAGGCAAGTCAGACAGGGTCCCCCTTTCACAGATGAGGAAACGAGACTGAATGAATAGGCGCCTGTGAGCAGTGGAGCTTGGACTTGAACTCAGGCCTTCACAGCTAAGGCTTTGCCTCCTGCCCCAGCTGCCTTGCTTTACTTAGCAACGGATTTCCATACCCCAAAATAGAACGCTCAGCTCAAGTCAGCACGCCAGCCCTTGGGTGTGAGGACAAGGGCCCCTGAGACACCCTCTGGAAGGGATCATCAAACTGTTACAAAACAAACAAAAACCCTGGTATCTCACATATGGGTCAGAACTCTAGGATTCTGTGAATAAACAAGGTGCCAATAGGAACCAGACTGTCCAAAAGGGGAATTCAGGAGCATGTGGGCTTTTTGGGTCTTCAGGATAGAGACCTTCATTCAATCATTCATTTAAAGATGGTACTTTAAGAAATCATTTTATAATTAATATACCCAAACAACAATGTTCCTTTAACATTGCCACTGTTGGGACCAGCAGTTAGCGTAATGGCTATGTCGCTGGACTCCCACGTAGTCGACCGTGGTTCTAGTCCCGGACCTGGTGGCTTAAACTCACGCCGGGTGTGTGTGCATGTGTGCCCAAGATCCCAAGAGGAGAATGGAGGAGAAGGGATTGCCGCGTGGCCATCCCCCCTGGGGGGTGATTTCTCGCTTTCTGTCTTTTTGTCTGTCTGGCGCGCGCACGCGCCCTATAGCAAAAACCTCTCCAAAAAAAAAACATTGCCACTGTGCAAAGGTGTGGCTGTTATTGCTCAGAAACACTAATGCCTCAGAGCTCATTACAAGCTACCTAAGAAAATCGTTTTCTCCCTCTTTAGCCAAAATCTTTTTCTCTTTCACTTCTGTGGAGATATTCGAGGCATATGCAGCAGGCCCAGAGAAGTTCCCAGAGTAGAGGGTGCTGGTCTCTCTCAGGCTTTACATGTTTGGCATTACTTGTGATTCCTCCCCACCCCTGCCTTAGGGCACATGCACTTGCTGGAGAGAGAGAGAAACAGAGGCAGTGAGAGGGAAAGTGAGAAATCACCCCCTGGGGGGATGGTGGTGCCACAGTCCCTTCTCTTCCATTCTCCTGGGATTTGGGGCATGCACATACATGTGCCTGGTGTGATTTTTAAGCCACTAGGACTGGGTTGGTCATGTGGGTGTCCAGCGATGTAACCATTATGCCACCTGCTGGCCCCACTGCTGTGATTTTTTTTTTAAAGGTCGTCGCACATGGTGTGTGCAAAGAAGCAGGCCCCCAAGGAGAGCTACAGCACTGCCCTTTCTGGGGTAGAACCTTTGGTGAGACAGTGACTTGTGTGGAGGGCAGTAAAGACCTGCAGGATGTCAAGTTGATGGCAATTATGTCATATTCTCACAGACGTCCCATGAGAGACAAAGATCAGCAATAATGAAATAGGTACTCTTTGCTAAGTGGTACTGAGCTATGGGGATCTTATGCAAAATTTCATGTAATCCTTACAACAATCCTATGAGGTTTGTATTATCCTCATTTCATAGATTTTTTTTCCCAGTGACAAAGTTACATCTTGAAAAAAAAAAAAGCATAATTAGTCAAAGCTGGGGCAATTACAGTTCTATAGTGACTAAATGGTGTCTCTTCATTTTAATAGAAAAATATTATTTAAAAAACAATTTCTGGCCAAAACCTAAACAGTATTTTCTTCTCAGTTAAAATATTTTTTGAAGTTAAATTATATGATTTCCTATAACTGAAAGAAAGGTAAGAGGAATGCTAATTATGCTCCATACACTGGATTAGCTCTTTCCAAGCCTTTTTAAATTTAATTGAATTCTCACAACAACCATGTGAGGATCTGTGAGGTTAGTAACACGGCCAAAGTCACACAGCCAATAAGGAGTGAAGACCCAATTTGAGCATGGCCCTCTGACTGTCAAGCCTGTACTCTTTTCAATAACTCATGTTGCCTGCTTAAAAAGAGAGAAGAGAGGGCTGGACGGTGGTGCAGCAGCAGAATGCAGAACTCTGGGAGGCTGCCCCATATGGAAAGGCTCCATGTTCATATCCAGAGACCTTCCTGGATGTGCTGGGCACGTGCATGCTGACGGCTGGCCGAGGCTGCGGGGCGATCTCGGCACGGACCCATCTCTCTGTTGCATGCAGGCACATGCACACAGATTCATGGGAGAAAGAATGTTTTTTGGGTTGTTTTTGTTTGTTTGTTTTTAAATAGCATCTTGGGGTGAGGGAGAACAATGATCTTTTTTGGTGACTGTATTTCTTCCTTATTTTCTGAAAGTATCACGATTCCCTTTATTATTAAGATATTTATAATGACAAGTGTTCTGTTGCAAAGTCTCTCCTGAGAGGCAAAGATTTTATTCAAGAGAATTTTAAAAGCCATCATTGTGTGCAGTGTCTCTGAGCTAATCTGCCAGAGTTATTTTATCACAGTCAATTTTCTACTCAGATTCTGACAGTGACCAGACGCCCAGACTAAAAGCTGGTATTGGAAGATTCGTTGGTTTGAAAGGCACAGTGTTTGCTTGCGACTCGAATTTTGAATGCCTTCACTGGGGCAAAGGTTCTGGGGCTGAAATCTCGCTTCTTTCCTCTCTCCAGTGGGGCAGGATGCTTCTCAACCTCTGTGGTCACTGGAGCGTGAGCTAAGTTCAGACTTTTAGGCCACTAGATGGTGATCTTTGACTATGTACCACTTGAAGTTTCTGTTCACTCCTTGCTTTCAGCTTAACCATAACTTTTTACAAACGTTTTTATATTTATTTTAAAATACTTCAGTAAGTTGGGACCAGTAGATGGCATAATGGTTATGTCACTGGACTCTCACGTAGTTGACCATGGTTTGAATCCTGGACCAGGTGGCTTAAAACTCATGCTGGGAGTGTGTGTGTGCATGGCCCAAAATCTTGAGAAAACAAAGAAGGGATTGTGGCATGACCATCCTCCCTGGGGAGTGATTTCTCGTTTTCTGTCTCTGTCTCTCCAGCGAGTGCACATGCCCTACAGCAAAAACCTCTCTTAAAAAAAATACTTTAGGGAACCAGCAGTTAGCGTAATGGCTATGTCGCTGGACTCCTATGTAGTCGACCGCGGTTCGCGTCCCGGACCCGGTAGCTTAAAACTCATACCGGGCGCGTGTGTATGCATGCCCAAGATCCCGAGAGGAGAATGGAGGAGAAGGGATTGCGGCGTGACCATCCCCTCTGGGGGGTGATTTCTCGCTTTCTGTCTCTCTGTCTCTGTCTGTCTGGTGAGCGCACGCACCCTATAGCAAAA